AGAGACTCATGTAATGGTACAAGATCCCAATGATGAATGTAACTGTATTTTATACCTAAAATGTACCAATAAACTTAATGGGGGAAAAAAACCCCATCCAGCTGAAGAAAAAAGAAATGGAATGGCAGTAGACTAAGGACAGTCCTGAGGCTGGGTTCTTGTTAGAACTATGGCGTGTACCCATATTCGTCCTCGCTGTGTACATAATTTAATGAATTTCTTTTGTAAATTTTCTTTCTCACCTTTTCTTTTTGAAGTGTGGTGTGCTTTGTTGAATTTACATTTTGTTTTGTGATTTGCAGAATGTTAAAATGAGATGAGATAGAACTCAAGAGAAATGGATGTCACCCAAGATCCTGAACTTGGCAATGGATGCAGTAAACCCTGTTCATTTAGGGTTGTTTCACTGTAGGGAGGAAGGAGTATTGTACATGGGATCACTGCAGGTGACAGCATGTCCCTTATGGAAGTAAAAATACAGGCGGGAGGACAGATGTGTATTTTATAAGGTCATGGGGCTGACCATTTCTAAGATTTTTTTAGAAACCTTTACATATCATAAATCAAACAGCTTTTTTATTTGTTTAAATCTCTCTTTGTGTGAGTCTTTGTGGAAGATAAGACAGACAGGCAGATTTTCTATTCCCTATCTTCTAACAGCTGAGAATGGGCTCAGGAGAAACACATGGCCACTCAGACATTCCTACACGTGAGCGCCACAGGGCTCGGGGTGGCAGCTGTGCCCAGCTGTGTCCAGAACAGTCATCACTGGCCCGGGACAGACAGTTCTGCACTGTGCTGCTGCCCTCTGGTCCCACCCAGCTTCCCCCTCCTTCAGCTTTGTGAATTGTCTGAACTTCCCTACACATTCTTGCTAAATGTCTTTTGTTTTTGTTTTGCTAAAGACAGGGAAGTGTTTTGTTTTGGTTTTTATTTTTTATTTATTTTTTTGGTACCAGGGATCAAATTCAGGACCTTGCACTTGTGAGGCTGGCGGTGGAACCACTGAGCTAAATCCCAGGCCCTGTTTTGTTTTTTAATAAGAACAGGAAGAGTTGGTTTCTCTTTCAGGCATCCAAGAAGCAAGTCAGCCTTCAAAATACAAACTCTGTTGGGCTAACTTGCTATACAACACATGAATTATTAGCTCCTTTTCATACATGAGGAAATTAAAATGCAGAAATATTAAGTAGTTTTCCAAAAATGCTAATAAGCAGAGAGCACAGAATTTGAATTTCAGCAGTTGTCTTCAAATCTATAGCTGCTGTTCTGCCTGTTTTCACTCTCCTACTCACTAATCCCATCACCGCATTACGCAGTTTCCCTAAAAGGCAGAGCAAATTCCCCCTCTGCACGGAACCCACAGCACGTGCCCCTGGGCCACAGTGCAGACCAGTGGTGACAGACCTATGACACTCACTGCAGCAGGCCCTGTGAAGGCTCATGTCACTGGTACCTTCGCTTTTGACTGGTGAGTAAGAAGCTTTCATCTCTCCTTTGTTCTCACATAGCTCACACATTTCTTTAAGGTAAGAGATAAACTTTATCTCTGAACCACAAAAAACCAAGCACACAGCAAAAGCATAGTAAACAGGGCTGGGATTTGGCTCAGGGGTTCCACCGCCTGCCCAAGGTCCTGAGTTTGATCCCTGGTACCAAAAAAAAAGCACAGTAAACATTTGTTGACTCATTTGTCTTGTCTTCTCTTCCTCAAAGTAATTTTAATCACCTTTGTTAATCTATCTGGGTCATGAATTAATTTGGGTTGTAGTCTTAATAATAGAAATACCTTTTGTTGTTTATTATCATCCAATCCCTCAAAAAATGTCTCTCTCCAAGTTTCTATCCACCTCCCTCAAGCGGGCCCTCAGACCCCTCCGTGGGAGCAGCTCTGTCTTGTTCACCCCTTCAGGGCCTCGCCGGCAGGCTCATGGCACAGCTTTCTGCACATTCACCTTTTGGTAATGAAAGGGGTGCACCTGGTTAGAGGAGAACTTCCAAAGACTTCACCACTGCATGGGTCTACCTAGGGTTTCCGTTCCAGCTCATATATAAAGACAAGATATAAATACATAAATTGTCCATACTTTTTTCTCCACTTCTCCAAATCCAATACTCTTACCTGTTTAAGAAATCACTCCAGAAATTCAGGTCCACCTCCAACATACCTTTTCTCCCTTGATAAGATTACCCTCTTTGGTGTACAGCTTTGCTAAATATCACCCGCTTTGTATAACATCTATGTTCACTCCATAGCTCCTTCCCGTAAGATCTTCGTTTCTCTGTTACCTTTTATTGCAAAACTTACAGAGCTGTCTGTACCCTTGCTCCATCTCCTCTCTTCTCACTTCCTGTGGTCTCCAGCAATAACTTCCATTACTAGAGCCCATGGTCAGCTTTCAGGGTTCTGATCAGAATTCTGTGACACAGCCAGTCAGTCCTGTCTTTTGGGAAACCCACTGGGACTTCGTTTGCAGAACACCACAGTCTCTCTTCTGTCACCTTCACAAGTGGCTCCTCCTTGGCATCCTCCTCTAATTCTTGTCATACACCCCAGAATTCCTCAATTAGGGGTCAGCATTCACTCTTCATACATCTCTGTCTTCCTCACTCTAATACACATGACATTATACATTTGCCAAAATTTGTCAATTTATCCCCTCCTAAGTGAGTAAACTTAAATGTGCATAAATTTTAAAACATCACAAGGACATCAGGAGACCCTGAGAAGGAATGCAAACTCCAGCAAGAGAATCAATGTATGCTATAAATACATGAAACTACCTTACTGAATGGGGTGGTTGACATGTGTGAGCTAAGTAATTTTGACATGAAAGATCTCTAAGAATAAAGGCAAAAGGGATTTATACAAATATCCATAAACATTTCCTCCTTGAAACCAGTTAGGTCACCAAATGCAAGACAAGTCTGAGGAATGCCACAAACAAGAAGAGCCTGTGGGAACATGACCACTAAACACATGAAACACATGCTGGATCCTGTGTGGACTCCTGGATAGAAAAAGACAATGGGTAAAAGTGAGGGTGATCTGATAAGAATGAGTTTTAGTTAATGATGTATCACTAGTGGTTCATGAAGTAATAAGTATTATGTACCACAATTCATGAAGTACTGTATTAGTGTGCAGCCAGGAGAGCTGCATACAAGTATATGAAATTTGCAAGTGCGTGTATCATTTTCTAAAGGTTTTCTAAAAAGTGAAAATATCCTAGACCAAAACAGTGTTTTAAATATCTAATTTGAAATGCGTACCGTCAGGCAATGAGGTAGACCACCGCTCATGTTGTCATGCTAACGGCCCGCCATATTTGTTTGACTGTAGTGTATGATCAAATGCCATCCATTACCAGTGACTTCATATCCATGTGGGCAATTCCTATAATATGCTGTCTCTCTCACCTTTCTGACCTACAAAGATATTTTCCTTCACCCCACCCAGCCATCCACTGTGGAATTATCTTAGATTTTGCCATCATCAATGACAGCACACTCTCCAAAGGATCCATTGCAAATGTCCCATTCTATGCACCCTTAGGCTGTCCTTCTAGCTCACCCAGTACAGGGCTCTGACTCAAGCAGTTCCTTGCTCTGCTCTAGATCACCAAATCACCGTATCCGCCTCCTTCCCTAAGGCACTGCCACTGGCATTCCTCTTGCCAGCTTAGAGTCTCCCTCTCACCTGGCAGACTCTTAACCTCACATGTGCTCTGCTCCTGTGAATCTCATGTGCCAATTTTAACCATATTTGTCCATTTCTTACCAGCATCAATGGCTGAATATGCTGGAAAAAATAGCTCTTTTTACTTGCTGTAAAGGTATAACCCTATTCTCAAAGGAGCGCTCAAAACTCCTATTAATTCCACCACAGTTGACTAGAAATTTTAAATTTTCTACTCTCCAAATAAACTATTTTGTAATGCAACTTCCCTCCTCAAATGTCTGATGCACATGACCTTACACATATTCCTTCTCCAACCTTCACTCTGCTGCATTGACCTCTGGGCATCTTTACTTCGCTCTGGTGCTGTCATGATCAACACACTCCAGCCTTCTTTCTGCTCCCCGAACACAAGACCCGTTTCAGCCTGAATGCCCCACAAGAGTCACTGCTCTCCCCGCTGGCATGCTCTTGTCATTATCTCCACACTGCCAGGCCCGGGTGATCAGGTATCAACTTCAATGGCCCTTCCCTAGAGGACTTTAAAAAGCAGGCATTCCATCACTTTTATCACACTAGACCATTTAAATTTTCTTCATTAAGAAGGGGATCTAGAGATGGGGAGCTGGGAGGGAGGGGGCAAGGAAGTAAAAAGGGTCAAGATGTGATATGAACATAAGCTAATTCCTCATGAGGAATGTGTTTGTTATATATCTTAGACATATACTAATAAAAAAGGAAAGGAAAAAATAGTAATTTTCTTCATATCACTTATCATTACCCGATAATCTTGTGGTTCATTGTCAGTGTGTTCTCTGATCTATTTCCTGCCTCTGCAGTGTAGTCTATGAGAGCAGAGGTCTGGTTGGACTTGTTTCCCAGTATGGACAAAACAGAGCCTGGTCTGTATTAGGTTCTTTGTGAATAAACTAGTGCAGTCACTAGTGTGTTTGAAAATAATACGAGAATGTAGCATAGTTACAGATCAGATTCCTGATGAACTGGACTAAGGTAAAGCATACTAAGCAGGAAGTTCAGCTACTCCGAAGACTAGTACCTATGAAGGAAGATGGGACAAAGGGGAAGCTGACTGGGCTGAATGTACAGCAAAGGTTTCAGCCTGCAGAGAGCTGACCCTGGGTGACTATGCAGAGCTGTCCCATTTGGGGCAGAAAAGCTGGAGTTTTGAGTCCTGTCTCCCTTCTGTATGGACCAATTGCAGGATGCAGCCCTGGGAAGGGAGGTGAGCTGAGCCACAGTCCTGTTTCCACCAGGGCTGTTCCCAGGGAGGCTTCAGGGAGAGAGCTGAGAGCCATGAGCCAGCTGCAGAGCAGGCCCATCTCTCCAGAGAAAGAGCTTGCACACAGAGCATCCTTGCCTGTGTCCTGAGAGCAGCTCGCCCCAATTCTGGAAGGCCCTTTCCTTGAGGAAACTTGCAAGACAAAACAAACAGAACAGCTGTGTCCTTTCTGCTGCAGTCCTCAGAGTAGCCCTAGTGTCTTCTCCTGTTATGCATTCTAGATTCTCCTCTCAGTACCTCTTGGCCTCTCCGCCCTGCCTGGAGGCATTCACCACACTCTCAGGTTCTAGGTTTCTGAATCTCTGCTAATTACATTGCACTCTGTTCACACCTGCTACCGAGCTAGGCAACGGAGCACTCAAAGGCAACCGAGTGGGTCACTGGCCTGCTGAGCACTTCCCTCCCTGCCGCACTGTGTAGCAGCAGCCTTGCCTCCTTCTGCCAAGTTGTCCGGCTACGTCACTCCTGCCAGTCGCTGGTCTCCGGCAAGAGGAGCCCGGAGTGCCTGGAGCAGCCACAGCTTACCGTTCAGTGGGAGTTGTACCGAGTGCTTTGTTGGACACATTCCGTCTTTGTGAACAAGTGCTTTAACTCCATGGCGCCCAGAGCTGTGGGGACAGGAAATTCAAATTCCCAAAGTTAATCCTGGGCAGTGATGACAAGCCGAGCCATCCGTACTTCTATCTCTTGGTTTCCAGTCCGTGCTCAAGGTCAAAGCACAGAACGGAGGCTGTGAGCTGTGCCCTGCACAGCGTCATGAGCACGTAGATGGCCATGTGAAGGACAGTGACCTTTGCTCGCGGAGCGTCATCTTGGTGGTGGTCCCTCAGCGGGAACAGCCACAGTGTGGCCTGTCATTCTCCCAGATGGGTGCTGAGACATGTCCGGGACCAGTGGGTGCTGGGTCACGAGCTCGCCACCTCACCTTACCCTAAAATGAGCTCCTCATTCTTCTCGGATGTTAAGGGATTCCACTGTTTATGGATAAACCCTCTGTAAGCCTTCGGATAGTGGTGCTGACCATCTTAGTTCAGGACACTGTAAAAAATTACCATGGCCTCAGTGGCTTGAACAGTAAACATTTATTTCCCAGATTCTGGAGCCTGGAAAACCCATCATTAAAGCACCAGTAGATCGGGAGTCTAGTGAGGCCTGCTTCTTGGTTTGCAGATACCCTGTCTGCTTGTGATATCCTCACATGGCAGGCAGTAGAGGCAGGAAGCACACTGTTGTGTTTCTTCTTACAGGGGCGCTAATTTCACTCATGAGGGCTCGATCCTCAGGACCTAGTAACCTTCCAAGGGCCACACCTCCTAATATTATTACCTTAGGGTTAGAACCTCAACACATGAATTTTAAGGGTGTTCAAACATTTAATCTATAGCCCCACCTGAGTTCCCATTGGTAGAAAAGGAAAACCTACCCAGAGCAGCTGTCTATTCCAGTGAAGATGAATTCTTACCTTGGTGGGGAATGAGAAGTCCAATGTAATCCACTTATCATCAAGTGTCCTATCATGTGCTTGGTGTTGGCCCTGTGATAGGGTGCTTGGCTACAGAACTAGTTGGATCAGCCTCGATGACAAGGATTTTAAGCTCTTAAACCCATGTGTGGCCTCCATCTCTGCCACCATAGCCACATTAATGGTGAGCCCATTGTACCAGCCTTGGAATGGCTGATGAAAGAAGCTGATGATAAACAGAACACACCACTGTGGCTCCTTGATCATTTAGTGCCTCTTCTAGCTGGATGCTCTTGGGTAGACATTAATATTCAATACAAAGATCTTCACAATCTTGCCCATTCACAAATTAAATTTGTACCCAACTGTCTCTACCTTAGCCCTCCCTGTCTCCAGAGTCCTTTGGCTCCTAACCAACTAGGTAACATATTACAACCACCTGCCTCCTAAGGATACAAGTGGAAAGCTCTATCCATTTAGAGGGTTTATCCTGACTGCTTGTAATCAAAGCCACCCTGAGTGAGGCTGAAATCTAAGTTCTGTGTATTGTCGGCTGGACCCATTGTAATGGTTGATTTTGTGTGCCAATTTGACTAAGGACTAAGGAGTACCTAGAAACATTGAAAAGCATTGTTCTGAGTATGCCTGTGAGATGTTTCTTGAGGAGGTCAGCATGCGAGTCTGGGTGGGCTGGATGTGACCCAGACTTGCCCTCCATGTGAGCAGGCAACATCACTCACATGGCAGTCCAGAGAGCACACATGCAGAAAGAGAGCTAATCTTTCCTCTTAAGCCTGGGACAGGCTTATCTCCTATCTGCCTAGGACATCAAAGTTCAGGCTCTCTGGCCTTTGGACCACTGGACTTGTAACAGCAATCCTTCTGCAAGTTCTCAGGCTTTGGGCCTTAAACAGAGTTACCCCAGGCTTCCCTGCACCATGCTACCAGAATTCTAAGTGAGCTGTCACAATTGTCTCCCTGGAGAACTCCGACTGACACGCCCACATAGTACACCAACCCTTCTGTTGATCAGTCCTTGGTCCCTCCCCATCAGGCAATCATGAGCAATGCTCACACCCACAACCCACAAGGCCTCAGATGGGCATTGAAGGACAGCTGCTGGTAGGTAACACAGGGCTCTGAGTCACCTGCTCATGCTGTTCTCTCTTTCTCTCCAGTCCTGCTCTTACCTGGTCCCAGACAAACCACTTCTGTCTGAATGATGGATTCTGCAGAGCCCTTAGGCCTGCCTTGGTGGGTCTAATATAATGCACATCATAATGGAGAGTCATGTTTCTGGTTTCTGCTGGGGAAATGTTTTGTTATGCAATTATTTCTCTACCCTGGATAGCATGGATCCCTAGGTGGACACATGGCAATTCTTCTACTGGGGCCTGTAGTAAATTCACACAACTGTAGTTTCTCACCATGGAATCCACCATTGCCATACACCGTGCTATACTCTACGTGCCCAGTGGCAGAGCCCACAGGCCAGTCCAGACCTTCTGTGCAGCCTTTGCCTGTAGTAGAAACCACTCAAATTGCAGCTGGAGGCTTTTGGTGTCAATGAAGCATATGGGCCACAGCAGTGTTCCTATGTGTGTAATATTGTTCCCCAAAACAGAAAAGGGGTGATGGGGTGGAAGTGGTGGAGTGAAGGCTGATGGCAAATCACGGCCCCTCCAGGACTGGAACATAGACATCTGGACAGTAGCAGCTTACCAAAGAGAAAGAAGAGCTCTGGGAGTCATAACAGAGCAGACAGCAGAGCTAGAAATCACAGAGAATGTGGAGAACTAAAGACAGCACAGAGAAACGGGCAAAGGGAGGTGGAGCACACCGCTGTTCTCCAGCAAGGGGCCGCTGTCTCCATACACACAGTGCAAGCCCCCCGAAGGAAGAAACAATAGGCCAGCAGCACTAGCCCCGAGCAAAGCCCAGTTATTGTAAGCTGCAAATACCATGTGGGGCTTCACTCTGAGAGTGATTCCTCCCTCCCAGCAGGCTAGTGCTGGAGAAGAAATCCACACAGTGGAGAAATGGATAAAGAAAGTGTGCTATCCATACACAATATAGTATGACTGAGCCATACAATCGGACACATAAAGTTAAAAAGCTCATGATTTTTCTCATATGAGAAAACACACTAAACATGATTTAAGGAGCAAAATAAAAGATAAATAATAGAAACAGGGAGGTAGGCTCTGTGGAGCTGAGAAGGGGCTCAGGGAAGGAGGGGATTTGGGGCAGGGAAAGGGAAATACTACAAAGTTTCAAGACACGAGACATGCTTATGTATCACTTCCCCATCATGAATGCATTTGTTATGCATGGCAAACATACACTAACAAAAATTCAAAGGCACTGTGCTATGGTTGGTTTAGATGTCCCCAAAGCCTCATGCAGTTGAGGCCGGGCTTTCTCTCTCAGAGGCAGTAGAATCTGGCATGTGATCCTGGGGTTAAGGAAGTGTGATTACTAAACCACTACATGTGAGTGATTAGTTTGCCACCACCCTAATCCTGGCAGTCTGAATAGAAAAAGGGTCAGAAAGATGCTGGTAACTCACTCATTACCTTTGCTGCTTTGTGTGTGCCGTGTTGTTTCTCCTCTGTGAAACCTGTTTGTCATCCTGGTCTTGGAGCCAGCCGATTATGGACTGAAACCTCTACGAACTGTAAGCCAAACAAATCCCTTCCCATTTAACTTTTGGTGCCAGGTATTTTGTTTCAGCAATGAGAGAAAAGTTACTAACACACACTAAAGGGGAAAATATAGCCATTAGACTTTTTTCTTTGTGGTTGCTTTGGAGAAGATCCTCTGACTTTTCCAGGCCATGGGACCCCTACAAATATCACTGATGTTTCAACTGCTGGATTTTCATAGGATTTATCTCCTAGGCTTTGGAGCACATACAAGTTACTAAGAAATGCAAACTACTTGCCACTTCCTGTTTATTTGGTCAAATTAGCTATGGTGTCATTAATACAATAAATGGTCCGGGTTTTTTTGCTCATTATGACAGCGGAGATGAATTAGCCTCATCTTTGGGCAAACTTGTGAGCATCTACAGTTATGTATCCCAGAGAATATAAATGACACTGATCCTTGCTTTCTGTAAGGTTGGAAATGACCACTTTTGGCAGATGAATGGGTACATTTTATGTTCTGAGGTCACAATTTGCTTTATCACAGATACATCCACATACCAGATACAAATGGAACTACAAACTGGGTAAATTTGTGATAGCCAACTTCCAGGATCTGACCACCTTTGGTAAGGGCGAGGCTGATGGAGTCAATGTAAGGGTCTCCGCTCCTCAAAATTAAAAAAAAAGTTAAAGCAGTTGGAGGTGGAGCTGGGGTTGGTAGACCTCTTGCTTACCACAAGAAACATTGTGTTTAATGACCTAGTACTGCAAAATAAAAAGTTTTTTTCCTGGAGGGAACATAATTCTAACCATAACATGAGGGAATTGTTAGAGAGAAGGATTTAACTGGCCATAGCTCCTAACTGTACTTCCCATATGCCCCACTCCATGTATTTCAAAAGATAGTATTTTTTTTACTTTTTTAAAAAATTAATTTTATTGGTACATTTTAGGTATGCAATATAATGATGTTCATCATTGGAAATTTGCACCTCTATTTAATCCCTCTTGGTTCTTATTTTTCCCCCTTCCCCTACCCTCCATTCAACACCTCCATCCCTCCTTATTTACAAAGACTTTGCTTCCATTTTTTCATTTTATCATATTAATTCCATTCCCTTCTTTCCTTTCCCCTACCCCTCCCACTTCCCCTTCCCCTTTGCCCATTTTCTT